CCCCATTCAAGGGGAGCACATCAAGGCTGGCTCGGTGGACAAAGCACCAATCAGCAAAGCGGGTGAAGCTGCCGCCGCGCATGAAGTGATTGCTCGAGCGCGCGACGACACCTCAAACACTTTCCCCTGATCTGGCTTTGTGATCCACGTGTATGCGTACCACTCCGCCACCGCCGCTCGCAGGCGCCCGATCACCTGGGCGCGAGCCCCAGGTGGGATCTTAGTGATCTTGCCACGTGGCCCGCGGCACTGGAGGACGAACTCCTCACGCTCCCCGCACCAGAGCCACCGAACAGCCAAGCGATCAGATTGTCTCCGAGCAGCATTCCGTGCGCTCGACCAGAGCGAGGACTCCCCGCCCACCCTTAGCCTACCCTCGAGCGAGCCCGAAAGGAAGGCGGCGCACGTCGGGTGGGTGTCAATCCGGCGGCTAACCACTGCCCGCAGCGACGCCCACGCCAGGTCCTTGACCGCCCGGTCGTCCGCCGTCAAAAGACGGAAGACGTGGGCGATTGTGAGGACGTCGGCGAGGTCAGCGAGCGGAAGCAGTCCACACCCCCCCCCCTGCTAGGAAGGAGGTAGACCACCTCCGCGCTGGCGCGCTGAGGGAGGTTTAGCCAGCCTTTGACTAACCTGCGGATCTGCAGGTCTAAGGCTATTAAGAGGCGTTTCTCAACCCTGGCCCCCCGAAGCAAGAAGTCGAGCCGCGGCAACAGAAAAGTCGCCATGGCCTCCGACTTCTGCCACGGAGCAAGGAGCGACCGGAGGTCGCCCGGAGGTCCTCATCCAAAGCCAACATGGCAGCATGTGGGTTTTGGTTCACCGAGAAGCCCGTCGGGATGCCGAGGTGCTCATAGGCCTCGCTCTCCGCCAGGGACGGAGGAGGAGACTTCACAGTCTGACCCTGAACGACAGAGCCCGTCGACAGGACCCTGCCGCCTCGTCCCACACCGACGTGCAGGGTGGCGCATTTGGCAGAGTTGAACCGCAACCCTATCGACGACGCTTCGTCCTCCGCGACTGCAAGCAGTCTTCCCATCTCGCCCGGGCTCCTGGAGACCAGTACCAGGTCGTCTGCATAGGCCATTACTGACCACCGCGAGCCCAACAGTTCGACCCCGAGACTGGTGTCGGTGACTGCACGCAGCACCGAATCGATCACGAGATCGAACACTATCGGGCTCAGCGGGCATCCCTGGCGTACACCCGACCGGATGGGGATGAGCGCAGTGAAACCGTCTTTGGTTCGCACGTGCGTGGTGCAACCATCGTACATGAAGCCCCATATCGCTATGAGGCCCCGCGGAACGCCGGCTCGTACAAGGGCGCGGCGGATCGTCTCGTGAGGTACCGATCCAAACGCGTTGGAAAGATCCAGCCATGCGATTACCATCTCCCTGCGGTCCCTCCGGGCATCAGTTAGGATCTCCTGCAGGACGAAGTTGTGCTCGTAGCACCCCTCGTCCCTCAGAAACCCCTTCTGAGCCGGACTTAGCTTTCGGCCGGCTATCGCCAGTCGGTCAATCGATCAGCCAGCACTGCCGCGAAGAGCTTGGGCGTGGTATCACCGAGCGCGAGAGGACGCCAATTTTCGAGCATGCCGCGATCACCTTTCTTATATACTAATACGGTGTTGGAGATCTTCCAGCTCGCGGGGACAACCTCGAGTTGCAGGCAGGCGTTGAACACCGCGGCGAGCAGCTGAGCCGTCGGATTCGAAACACGGAGGTCACGATAGGTCAGACCGCCCGGTCCGGGCGCAGAATTATTCATGCGCCGGAGCCTCCGATCAACCTCTCGCTCCGAGATCGGCCGAATCAACTCAGCCGCCTGTTTGCCATCGCCCGAGGCTTCGGGCAGCTCCTCAGGCGCCGCGCCGTGTAGGCTTCCCGCGCCACAGTATAAGCCTTTGAAGTATTCCTGCACCCGCTGTGTGGACACATCGCACACTTCTGCGGGGCCGGAAATGACTTCGCGGATTGCTTTGCGGCAGTTCTTCCTGAACAGCGCTTGTAGGCGCGCTGCTTCGCGTCCCGTATCCACGCGACCTTCTCCACCGAACATGGGGGCTCCGCCGATGCGGGTCCCCCTTTGCGAATGGCGCTGTCTCCCATTCCCCCCGCTCTCCGCGCGTTATCTTCGGCCTCTCGCGATCGTACCGGATGGCCACAAGGACGCGGCGCGCCACTGCCCCCCGAAGAACCCGACGACTTGTGTCATCAGGCGCTCGAGGTCGGCGAGCGTATCCGCCGATTCCGCCGCCGCGACGAGACGTCGCCTCTCGGCGGCCTTCTGCCGCGCGACAGGCGCCACCACCGGGTCACCTCTCGCCGCGGCCGGCGAACTCCGCGGAAGTGCGGGCGGACGCGCCCTCGCCCTAATGGCTAGTCCCGCAGTCGCCCCCGCCCTCCCCGGACGCCCCTCGACGACGGGGGCGCGTGTTCCCCGCCGACCCATTACCCCGCCGACACTTACGGGAGCACTGGAATGTACGGCAACACACTCACCAACATCTTCTGAACGCGTTGAAACTTCCGCGGGTCCCGCCGGTGGTATCCCTCCGCTCACCGCGCTCCTCGTCGCGACTCCCGGCAAGGGGTGATAGTTCACCGCCGTGAGGGGCGGCGGACTGGGCGCAGCGCGCGACTCCGCGCCCGACGCCTCTTCATCAGATGAGAGGCGCTTCCTCACCCTCCTCGCTCTTCTCCGCGCGACCCTTCCTTCGGCCATCGTCCACAACTCGTCCCCGTTCTCCGAGTCCGCCGCCGTGCCGCCGCCGCCGGCGCCGACCTCCTTTCTGCCGCTGCTGCTGCTGATAGTGCTCCTGCGGATGACGCCCCCGCTGGTGGTGGTGATCGTCCTCTGGGGCGGGCGCGGCCTGAGCGCCCTCCTGGGCGGGACCTTCTCTTCGCGGAGGGCGCTCGTCGTCACCCGGGGGCTGGTGGTCGTTGCCCCGGGAGTTGCCGCTGGCATGTACCGCGGCCCCGCAGCGATCACTGCGACCGGTGGCGACATACGTGCCGGCGGCGTGAAGCGCCCACGGTGGGCGAGAAGTACCTCCCGGGCGCGCTCGGGAGCCCTGTGGACATAATGAGATTCCCCGCCGCCGCTGTCACCACCGTTGTGGTCGTTAAGACCGCCGGCGCGCAACTCACGGGCGTATAGACGGGCAGGCATGGTGGCGACTTGCCCGTCGTCACCACGATCACATCGTGGGTGTTCGGCGGTGTGACGGGCGACATGCGTGTCGAGGGGGAGGACGCGACCCCGACCGTGGACAGCGGTACGGGGGGCGATCCTCGCGGTAACGCCCGTGGGCTTCCCACCGTCGGCGTGACGCGCGACATCGCCGCTGTCGTCGCGACCGGCGAGACGCGCCTCGAATTCACACCGTCAAAGGGCGGTGTGAATCACTCGTGAGGCACGCTCACCGGTTGCGAGTCGGGCGGCGACTCGTAGAAGTCGCGCAGCACGCCGGCACGACTCGTTGTTCGAATCGCGGCTCTACTGCGGGGCGCGCAGTCTATGGCCACGCCCGCTCTGCTCACCGGCGTCGTCTCTTGTGGCAGCGGCGTTGTGGTCCTGCGCAAAATGGCCGCCCTCGGTGCACCGGCTGTTGCTCTCGAAACGGATGTCTGTGTCGCCGGTGCCCTCGTGACGGCCGCGTACGAGGAGGAGACGTCCTCGTACGAGGACGCCGTTGCGTACGCCGACGGCGACGGCGTTTTATTATTAATACTACATCATTAATACTATAATATTACAATATTAATGCTAATGTCAATATGATAATATTTTGTGGTAAATTTAATTCCTGCCGCTTGCTACTAAAGGGTGCCGGCTCCAACGCTAGTGAGTCTCGACGGTGAAGTCACATGTCTTGTGTAGTTTAGACATTGCTGAAAGCGATTCAGTTCTTACACGTTAGATTTCTCGACGCCAAAAGGATTGAAAATGAACCGCGATATACTGTTTTCCCGATATGTGCTTCTTTATTATTTTGATCTCATGAAAACCGCAGCTGAAACGCAACGTTTATTATCCGAAGTGTATGATGATGAAATTCTATCGGAAAGAATATGTAGAATTTGGTTTGAACGCTTTCGAAACGATGATTTTGACGTGAGAAACAAAAAACGTCCCGGACAGTTAAAAAAATTTGAAGATGTCAAGCTGCAAGAATTTTCGATGAGGATCCAGCTCAAATACTTTTAGAGTTGTCAAAAGCGTTAAATGTTACTCCAATGGCCGCCTCCAAACGCTTGCATATCATGGGAAAAATTCATTTAGTAGGAATATGGGTACCACATGAGTTGTCAGAAAATGCCATTTTGAGTCGTTTGTGTATCGCGACTTCTTTGCTTGCCAGGTAAAGAAAAAAGTTTTTGTGGCGTACCCTGACTGGCAATGAAAAATAGATTTATTTTGATAATCCCAAGCATAGGAAATCATGAGTGGATTCGGGCCAACCATCCACTTCAACTCCAAAGAGGAATATTCATGGACATAAGACCTTGCTCTGTCTTTGGTGGGACCAGAAAGGTGTGCTGTATTACGAGCTCTTGCGTTCAAATGAAACCGTTACAGTTGATCGCTACCAACAGCAATTAGCAACGATTGAGTGACGAGTTGATGCAAAAAAGACCAACCGTAGCCAACAATCGACGCAAAGTCATTCTTTTGCATTGTAACGCTCGACCGCATGTTGCGAAAAGAATGAAGCAGACACTTCTACAGCTTGAGTGGGAAATCCTCCCACATCCAGCGTATTCTTCAGACGTGGCACTGTCGGATTACCATCTCTTTCGGTCGATGCAACACTTACAGACACACACTTCTCCAGTTACAATTACGTAGAAGTTAGAAATGGGTGGATAAATGGATCGCCTCGAAAGACATTGTGTTCTACTATCGTGGAATTGCTCTGTTGCTGGAAAGATGAGAAAAAGTAGTAGAAAATGGAGGAAATGACTTTCATTAAGGTATTAATCTTCCCTTCGAAACAAATTAATTTTGGAAGACGGAAAAACGGCAGGAATTAAGTTTACCACCTAATATTAAATATTGCAGATATAAAAATAATTCAGAAATATTAACACATAAGCGACCTCTGCTGAACATTTTTCTTAATTGTAACATGTTTGGCATCTGCTTATATTGCTTATAAGCATTTAATATAACATACAAAAATATCCACTTATATATATTTCTGTTTATATATCTTAATGTCCGTACAATTATATAGATGGATGCAGAATAAAAAAATGCTAATTTTTTACCTATATAGGGTGTCTGACTCGTATCAAACCAGAACTAATATATAGCTAGAATAGGTCGGCGTGGGTCATGGAATCGGTGTCTTTTTAAGCAACCACGTGAAATTTCCAATTACTAAATAAAATAGATGGGCTAATAAGAACGCGCGACGCGGCAGCCGGGACATACGGCTTGCCGCGGCCGGCGAAGAAAATCGACGATTGTTTGTGGGCCTATTTCATAGGCCCAGAGGTGGGGCCTACGTCTCAGATCTGACACAGCGTGATAGGCCCGTGAGTAATCGTTCCTTTTTTTCGCTAGCTGCGGCGAACCGTATGTTCTGTCTGCCGCATCACGCGCTTTGATTAGTCTATTTTATTTAATAACTCGAAATTTTAGGTAGTTGTGTAAAAAAGAGAACGATTCCATTACTCACCTCGATCTATTCTAGATATATGTTAGTTCTGCTATGGTTTGAGTCAGACACCCTGTATAACAAATTTAAAAAATGAAACCTAACAATGGCTGTTTCGTTAATTATTAAAGATTTTTCTTTTTTAATTTTATTTTTTATTAAAAACCGTACAACTTTTGTCTTAAAAGTTTTTTCAATCTCTGATAGTGACAGAGATAGCAAAAAGGGAATGAAACTTTGAGGGATAATTTTATCCCTTAAACCTGAGCCATTACTGATAAAAAAATATGGGTCTCTTATTTTTTGTCACTCTGTAAATATGCCAAGTTTTATTGAAATCGGAGACACATACTTCGCGAATATTTTTTGTAAATATTGTACTATTCTACAGGAAAAAGTAAGAATAAAATGTAATTTATTTATTTATATTAAGTGATTGTAAAAAATAAATAATATCTCAGAAAGAGTGACTACAATTCTAACAGATGGTGTTAGTCATTGTGAGAAGGAAAGGTTTCATGAAACATATTACCTAGGTGTTCATCATTACATTATCACAGATCTATCTAGATATAAAAGATTTGTTAATATCAATTGAAAAAGATGAAGAAAATATTTGTTATAATAAATTCTAAATCTGCTATTATTAGCTTTGTCAGTTTTATCTTTGTGAATACACCCAAAACTTTTTCCACAATGACTAATACTATCTCTTAAAAATATCAACCTTTTTTGCTAACTATATACGGAATGTGTAAGTGCAATATCTTTAACTAATCACATTTGCCTTAAATATAAAAACAACAATATCATACTTAAGTAAATATTGATGTTTATTGATGCACTTTACAAAATCATAGATATTCGTGGCTGCCCGTATATCCTCGCTTAACAATTTAAACCTTGCTGATGCCAACCAGAGTAACAACGCCATGAAAGCGTTTGCTGACAATTGTGCTGCTATAAACATGCCGACGACAATTTGATGCATGTATGTAATAGTTCGCAGCGGTTGACGAGATACGTCGAACGGAAAATCGGCAAGTACTGGGAGCGGCTGGTCCAACACAATAGGTCCCATAATGAGAACGACAGGAGTCATATAGTATGAAGCTATGCAAAAACCGTAAAAGCTGGTATACTTATCGATGTATTTTCGTTGAATAATCGCTTCCTCATGAGGCTCCAACAGTACGTAAAAATTCTCCATCTCGAAAGTAATGCACTGCAAACCATTAAATCTTCAAAATAGTATTGTGTCAACAGAACACGTTTGAGAAAGATACGTTTATTTTCAAAAAGTATGTCTACGTTAGTTACTTGTAAGCGTTGATAAATAATTGCGTGACTTAAAATGTTCCAGACAACGTGACCGCAAGGGAACAAAGGTAAAGCTGATTTTATAACGAAACTAGGATTATTTAGATTTCTCGTCAAACCATACAACACCGATGCCATTACGGTTATAGTCAGTAGCATAGAGACGAGCTGATACAACTTCAGACAAATCAGTTTGCGTTTGCTGGCGTTCTGCGGCAGCGGCCAAAACCATATAACAAATAAACTCAACTTCATGATAACCATCACTTTCTTTAGCGTTACTTTTTCTTGCATGATTATGCCAAGCTAACGTACAAGTGTATCATAGATAACTGCTGTATATTACAGCTTGAACTTCGCGTTGAGTTACAACAATGAAAGATATAAGAGTTTGCTATGTATTGTCATTATTTGGATGCACAATATAGTGAGGTATTACTTGAAACGCTATACATTGTCTTATAAATTTTTCTGTGATGAACAGAATATAAAGTCTGAATAATATTCTTGCAAAATAGGAAGATGGAAATAAAAGCTTGAAATATACTTGTGAATACTTGTTTTTACTATTAGTCGGAGAAATACACTTGCGTTTGACGAATTAAATTAATGTATGCTTTTGCAATTGTGTTACAATATATAATATCTGTCGAAGTAATCCGAGGTAGTCTCTGATATAGAATTTTGAAAGCCATAGTCTATAGACTTGAAGCAAATGGTAAGGGAGATGAATAATTTAGTCAACATTCCCTCGAGATAATGCAATTGTTAAATTATTGTGTTTCTGGAGGCATATATCAGATAGTAAGATATTCTATCGTAAATTGAGGCATTGCAGAGATGAGTGGAAGAAGAGGAATGTATTTTCTTTAACTTGTGCGTGTACAGCGTACTACGTGGTTTAGCCAATATAAAATTTCTCGATAATTTTTTGCCATTAAATTTCTAGAAATTAAAATCTATATTTTCTTTCTAAATTGTAACTACCAAATTCCATATTTTTATTTTCTTCGATTGAATGTGGTAACTATTGTGTACAACAATACAGTAGTGTACGAGAGAGGGAGAGAAAGAAAGTTTATCCTTTCCGTCTTCCTTCAGATCGGAAGTTAATAATCAACACGAGGTCATAAAATATCAATCCTTTAATAATAGTTACAACTATGGATGAATATCTGGCAAAGAGGCACAAATACAATTGCCTCATGTGCGACGAGTATTCTTGATACAAATCAACGCGGATGTCTTGATCTCTCACCAATAGTCTGCAACCGCGTGCCCTGAATTAGATTTTCCTTTGCTAATTGCTATAGACTCTGATTAGCTCCGTCCTTCGACCAACCACGGTCCATCACGGCCTCTTGACTTGACACTTTTGAGTTTCCCTTTATTTCTTCTCCTTAGTTTACATCCTTCTCTCTTCTCTCATTCTCCGCGTGAGACTTCTTGTTCCTTCATATATATTTCTATTTGTTTCTAAAACGCTTTCCTCTACCAAGCAATGACTCATTTGTTTAATCTCGATACATCGATCTTGAAGGATCCGCTTACAGTAGTGTGTATATCGACTATAAAAATAAGTAGAGCACTAATTTTAAGTATCTCATGTTACAATATAATAAGCACTATCTGGCAGAAATTTTATCAATTATTATATTATTAAAATCATATTACTTAAATGGACATTTGTATTTGCAACTTGTTCGTTTCAATGAATTCATTATATAAATCAAATGTTCACTTGCCCGGGCATACATCCCAGTTAGATATGCTAGGTATCCTAAAATATTTCGTTTGTATTCCAAAATTTCCGTACATATCGGAGCAGTAAAGAAATGTTCACAAGAATGTTCAAATAATCATAACATATTTAGAATATTTCATGAACACTATTTTTATGTGCAATAAGGAATGTTTAGCGTATATCTTAATATACAAGGTGTATATTAAATATGGAAGACCTTAAATAACTTGGAAAATTCAACTTTTACGGAAAAGTGGTTCAGGCGAAAGTTATATGATTTATCGAGTATTATTTGGGGGTGACCTTGAAAATATTGTAAAGTGTAATTTTGAAGATCATTTGGAGGTCAAGTTGTTTTTTTTTTAATGACACTAACTACTTTTGAAATCGATAGAGCATGAAATTCTGCGTTCAGACATACATGATCTGGGAGGGTCAAATTGAGCCAAAAGGGTCACATAAAGATCACAAAGTTTTTTTTATGAGAATGTATCTGTAAATTAAACGGTTACAACACTTTAACGCCCACCTTAGTTCTCCATTTATTTTTATAATCGATATACACACTACTGTATTGTTGTACACACTAGTTACCATATCCAATCGAAGAAAATAGAAATATGGAATTTGGTACTTTTGGTATTGTATGGAGCTGGAATAGTCGAAAAGAGTCGTGAGTTTCAAAAAACTATTATTTATTTGCTTCGTTAACTTCAAACACGTTTTTCTCAAAACTACTTTTTTGCAAATTGCGTACAGAATGCCGCACTTCCATACATGTCATTATGACGGGTTGCCTGCTTGTAAGCACGTGTTTTGTTCGGTAATACAGGGTTTGTCGGTAAAATCATTCCCATATCTTTTCATCGAAATTGCTGTGTTCTCAATTATTATGATTTTAATGAATCCGCGTCGTGATCTGTTAAGAAGCTGAATTATATTTTATTTATAAAATATATAAAAGCATGAACATGAAAAACATGGATTTAATATGTTAATTACAAATCTTTTATAAATCCTTTACTGTTCTTAGGCGTTGCCAACTTTGAAAAAAATTAAAGATTGCGAAAAAATGAGAAGGAAATAATTATAAACCTCATGCAAGTATGCAAAAAAATCGTATATACTCGAGTGTCAGTGTTAATGTCAGTGTCACGACGGAGCCTTCAGTGTGTATGAGAAATCAGAATAGAGAACACGCTGAGAACACTAAATATGCTGGGTGCAATCTTAAAATATAATTATTTCTGCTTTCAAATTATATAACATGCACTTTTCCAGTCTGCGAGCAAGGTCTAAGCAATTGAACACTTCAACAAACTAATATTTTGCGTAAGATATAACTTGATTTTAGAAAGAAAAAGGATCAAAACAATTAGTGAGAAACGTACACTTATCTCTTCTTATCAACAGTCGCGAACATCGAATATTCGCACAATCAAAACATTCCGGACCTTCAAGGTGGTCGGATACACTTTCGTGCGTCGCATACTTCTTCAAGTGTCCATTACGTTTCGGGTCACTCATCGCATCCAGCGGACCACGTGTAATATCGATATGTTATTTATCATTGCAATATTTTAAATGAACTCTCATCAATGTCGCGTTATTTGCATTCACACATGCGTTCTCGATCAAATCGTATGAATATCAGTGTCAGTATGAATGGCAGTGTCAGTGCCATTATTATTGCCACGACGAAACTGCCAAGTTATTTCTGTTTGTGTATGAGATCAATGGAAATATGTAGATGTGTTTCAAATGATTTTGCCTCTATCCATGCCAGCTGGATCATCATTTCATCTGGTTTTCACTAGCTGAATTAACTAAGTGATTTTGCCTTTATCAGCTGGATCATTAATACGTCTTGCTTTAATTAACTAGAGAAGCTGGAAAGTCTTGCTTTCAAGAGTTAAATGATTTTCTAACCTAATCTTAGTAGATAAAATTAAGGCTAGGTGATAATGTGACCCCACATTATCATAACACTTTATAACATGAAATTTCATTTTTTGCCAAATTTGTAGGGATTTTATGGTTGAAAAGATAATATATTTGAAATAATTACAAAACAATCCCGTACAAATTAAATAAGGTAAATGCAGCGAATACAGAGTGTGACTTTATATCAGGCGTCTTCGTAACCTTTTTTCAAGCCTAGCTCGACAACGTCTGTCTGTCCGTCGACTCAACCGACTTTTATCTATATCGAAAACAAACAATAGATCGCCACGTATTTGTCTCTGAAATCAGTTATAGATCTCCGAGACACGTCAAACAAACAAACATTGTTAACGATCGCTTTCCTAGCTTAGCCGTTCGAAATTCTCGTTACCACAAATTTGAATATAAAAATGTGTCAGGATTTTATAGAATACAAATTGACTTTTATGTGACTTTGAAGCATATCAACTGTTTGAAGATAATGGCTTTTGTCTCATCTCTCTTTCAAAATCTTACTAATTTATTATGAGAAACCATTTTCTTTAGCAGACTTAATTTACAAGATAACAATTTTACTAAAAAAAACTTTGTAACTCTTTTGGGTTAATTTGATCCCCACATATCATACATGCCTGCACGCAGAATTTCATGCTCTATTGATTTCCGGTATTAAAAGTAGATCATATTATTTGAAGAAATTAACTTGATCTTCAAATGACCTTCAAAATTACATTTTACGACGTTTTTAAGGTCACCCGTAAATAATACTCAATGAATCCTATAACTTTTGTCTGAGTCACTTTTCCCTAAAATTTGAATTTTTTAAATTATTCAAGGATTTCCACACTTTTTATACACCCTATATATAGGGTGAGTTTTTTTAACTTGAGACTGCAAAATATCTGAAAAAATAAGCGTTGTACGAAAAAATGTTCCAAATAAACCCTCAATATTTTTGAGGGAGCAATACTATCCTGCAAAAGTTAGCCACCTGGGGGTGTGGTGGGGGTAACTTTGAAATATTAAATGGGAACCTTTACTTTTTATTGCAGATTCGGATTCTACATCTAAAAACAAATTTTATCTGAAACATTTTTTTCGACTTCTGATGGTGCTGCATTCGGCGGTTACTGGTTAACCTTCGTTTCCTTCAAGAGAAATTCTCATTTGATATTTGAGTCTTTAGCAGTGTCCATGAATATTAGATTTGGTTTCCCCATGTTTTATTGCATGGAAATCCCCATGTTTTATTGCATGGAAATCCCCATGTTTTATTGCATGGAAATCCCCATGTTTTATTGCATAATGATGCTACGTTGAAGAAAAGTAACTTTTGTCTGAAACATGATTTTATCTATAAATTATCATAGATGTCTACGATAATTTTTTATCTGTTTTTAGGTTACTCAGGATTAACGACGTGGACGCGACGGAAATTATAATCCTTTTGGGGTATTTGTTTATTGTGAGTCCTTTTGCCTTTCACATTCGGGTGC